CAACCTTCCTTCCGAGGAGTGGCTGGTGGGTTTGAACCACCAGCCTTCTGGTTAGCAGTCAAGTGCTTTGGCCACTATGCTACCAGAGCTCCTGACTATAAGCAGAGTCACGATAAATGGAGAAAAGATTGAGGTTGTCAAAGAATTCACATTGCTCAGTTCTACAATTAATGCCAATGGAAGCAGCAATCGGGACATTAGACATCATATAGTACTGGGCAAATTGGCTGCAAAGGACCTCTTTGACATGCTGAAGAACAATGATGTCTCCTTGAAGACTAAGGTGCACCTGACACAAGCTATGGTATTTTCTATTGCCTCATATGCATGTGAGAGCTGGACATTGAATAAGGAAGACTAAAGAAGAGTTGATGCTTTTGAGTTGTTGCACTTTATGGTGAAGAATGCTGAAGATACCATGGACTGCTTAAAGAACTAACAGATCTATCCTGGAGGAAGTGCACCCGAAATGCTCCTTGGAAGTGAAGATGGCCAGACTTCATCTCACCTACTTTGGTCATGTTGTCAGGAAGGCCCATTCCCTGGAGTAGGATGTCATGCTTGGTAAGGTGGAGGGTCAACAAAAGAGGGGAAGACCTTCAAAGAGATGGATTGACATAGTGGGTGTGACAATGGGCTCAAGTATAGAAGGGATCATGGAACTGGCATGGGATCGTGCAGTTTCATTCTGCTGTGCATAGGATCTCTATGGGTTGGAAACAACTCCACGGCACCTAACAACAACATGCTATTGAGGTTATTTCTGTCTTTGTATATGTTGTTGTTGTTGTTATATGCCGTCGAGTCGGACCCAACTCATACCGACCCCTCCTTGGTTTCTGAGGCAGTATCACGACAGAAGTAGATTGCTTAACCTTCCTTCCGAGGAGTGGCTGGTGGGTTTGAACTTCCAGCCTTCTGGTTAGCAGTCAAGTGCATTAGGCACTGTGCTACCAGAGCTCCCGTCTTTGTACATGTGTGGAGAAAATATTATATAATGATTTGGTACTATGCATTTCTTTCCAACACCATGCTCAGTGGGGTCATATTTATTATTGTTGCTAGATGCCAATGAGTCAGTTCCAGCTCACCGTGACCCTGTGTGTAACAAACAAAACATTGTCTGGTCCTGCACAATCATAGCTATATTTAAACCCATAATTACAGCAACTATACCAGTCCATCTCATTGAGGTCTTTCTTCCTTTTTTTTTTTTTTTTTTGCTGACTCTCTACTTTACCAAGCATGCTGTCCTTCTACAGAGTCTGGTCCCTCCTGATAGCATATCCAAAGTACAGGACATGAAGTGTCAACATCCTCACTTGTAAGGAACATTCCAGCTGTACTTCTTCTAGGACAGATTTATTTGTTCTTCACCAATGCCATAATTCAAAGGCATCAATTCTTCAGTCTTCCTGATTCATTGTCCAACTTTCACATGCATATGAGTCAATTCAAAATATTTCTGTAGGCACATGTTAGTCTTCAAAGTGACATCTTGGCTTATAATATTTTAAAGAAGTC